CTAGTTCCGAGAGCATCATCAACATGCTGCATAACAAGATAAAATCCTAACACCTCTATCAGCTGACATCAACAGGCAGGAACATAGAATCATAACACCTCTATCAGCTGACATCAACAGGCAGGAACATAGAATCATAACACCTCTATCAGCTGACGCCAACAGGCAGGAACAGGGAGACAGAACACTGAGAGCACAGCAGTCAAGGTTATGAGGTGCGTGTGCTCAGTCAGGACAGTTTTGCACAGGATAGAATTTAAAATTCTTCTTCTCACCTACAAAGCCCTTAATGGGCAGGCGCCATCTTACCTTAAAGAACTCATTATACCCTACTGTCCTACTAGGGCATTGCGTTCCAAGAATGCAGGGTTGTTGGTTGTTCCTAGAGTCTCTAAAAGTACAATGGGAGCCAGAGCCTTTTCTTATAAAGCTCCACATTTGTGGAATCAGCTTCCAGTTTGTGTTCGGGCGGCAGACACCCTATCCGTTTTTAAGAGTGCGCTTAAGACCTTCCTTTTTGATAAAGCTTATAGTTAGGGCTGATTAGATTCAGCCCCTAGTTTTGCTGATATAGGCTTAGTTTGTCAGGGGACATCTTACTTCTTCCTTCTCTCTGTCTATACCTGTGTACTCTCATGTTCCGATTAACCCAGCTTCCCCAAATGTCTTTCTTTTTGGTGTCTATATACGCCGGGATCCGGAGTCATGGATGATCCTGCGCTCCTCTGTCCTGGATCGCGAGCCCTGGATCTTGAGTCGTGGCTGTGGTCCTGGATCATAGGTCCTGGATGGATATCCTCGTGGATTCATCTTCCTATTATACACACATGCATTTCCAAACATTTGGACTACCTATGTTGCAAATGTATTATCTTTTCAATTTACACACGGCATCTATTGCACATCTGTCCGTCCTGGGAGAGGGATCCCTCCTCTGTTGCTCTCCCTGAGGTTTCTCCCATTTTTCCCTTTAAACTGTGGGTTTTCTTCGGAAGTTTTTCCTTGTACGATGTGAGGGTCTAAGGACAGAGGGTGTCGTATTGTCATACTGATATTTTGTACAAACTGTAAAGTCCACTGAGACAAATGTAACATTTGTGATATTGGGCTATATAAATAAACATTGATTGATTGATTGATTTGAACTGATAAACTGGGTCAAAGTTATGGGCCTTGGAAAATATTCCCCAACACCTCACCTACCTCTGACAAATTCAGGTTCCAATGGGGACTTTTTTCCCTGTGTGTGCCTCTCCACCTCTGTTTCCTACTTCTTACTTGCTACCCTTTTCCCTCAACCTATCCTAAGGGAGTGCATGTATGTAGACCTGTTAGTTTAGCTGCTATAGGCTTGGACTGTTGGGGGGGGGCACCTTACTCCGTCTTTCTGGCTGTTTGTACCTGTGTACTCTCATGTTCCGATTAACCCAGTTTCCCCCAAATCTCTTTTTTGTGTCCATATATACGCCGGGATCCTGAGTCGAGGCTAATCCTGTTGCTGTGGTCGTGTGTCCTGGATCCTCTATCCTGAGCACTGGATCTGAGTCCTGGACTTCGAGTCGTGGCTGAACCTGTCTCTGCGGTCCTGCCAGACTCTCACTTCACTGATGGCTCCCACAAGATTGCTGACATCCTCGTGGATTCATCTTCTTATTATAGACACATGCATTTCCAAACATTTGGACTACCTATGTTGTAAATGTATTATCTTTTCGATGTACACACGGCATCTATTGCACGTCTGTCCGTCCTGGGAGAGGGATCCCTCCTCTGTTGCTCTCCCTGAGGTTTCTCCCATTTTCCCCTTTAAACTGTGGGTTTTCTCTGGAAGTTTTTCCTTGTACGATGTGAGGGTCTAAGGACAGAGGGTGTCGTATTGTCATACTGATATTCTGTACACACTGTGAAGACCACTGAGACAAATGTAACATTTGTGATAATAGGCTATATAAATAAACATTGATTGATTGATTGATTGATTGAAAGACAGACTAGACTGTGGCAGTAGAAGACAACCTTCGGAACATCAGTCATAATTCCCCAACATTGGCATTTGAGTTACACATGTTTTGTTTGAAAGACTTCTGCCTAAACAGTAGGCAACCCCTGTAATTAAGTGTTGTTGGGGGAGTACTATATAGTAAGGTTTAAGCAACTTTTTTTTTTTTAAATCGGGACTTTCATCCATTCTTTCATGCATTCACTGTCACTGCAGAAAAACGATTGATTACAAAATGGTCATTTTATGGATGAACTTTAACATACCACCTGTTTGGTTGATGTCAATTTGCTTGGTACACATAACATGTTTCCCATAACCATTTCAAACCACAAATCAACCGAAGTAACGCAGCTCTATAAGTGGATATTAATTATACTTGACTTAAAATGTTTGACTTACAAGAGCTCAACACTTCCTCCTCTACTGTACAATGTTTCTGCAACAGGAGATACTATAATGATGTTGGCAGAGAAACCATATGTAGGGTAATGTAGTTTGTTTCTCTCCAGCAGCAGGATATTGGTTTAAGCCCTCATGTTGGCAAACATCTGCCTCATGTTGTCCTGGAGCAACTCAGTGTCTTCACCCGTTTACCAGTTCTTACATGTTTTTCAGTCTATGGTTTTTACACCTTCAGGGCTAAAACAACCAAGTGCTCTGACTTTGCCTTTGGAGCGAGATTACCAGGAGGATTGCTCACAAGCAGAAAGGTAAAAGCACTGTGACAAAAAATCCTCGACTACACAACATATTGTTATAGTTCGCTGCTGAATATTTGAGTATTTGGTTTGTCACAGAGTTGGTGGTTTTAAAAAAAAAAAAAGGTAAGGTAAATACAAAACAAACATATTTATGAGGATAATTCCGAGCTGATAAAAAGTGAACACAACACAACTAACAGAAGCGAATGTGCTCAATATAACACAAGACATTCATTAGCTGCAACTCATCTTAACATTTCAACGCTCCTCATTACATTTTGTTTTACCACAATTTGTTGTAAGGCAGTCTTAGTCAGAAAAGAGAGCCTTCATCTAACTTGCTTAAAACAATCTAAAGTGGTCTTGTTAAGTTTAATTGTACATGTGTCAGATAATGCTATGCTCTTATATACAATACAGTTTATCTTGTTTTTACTATATCTTTGCCAAGAACACAGCCTGTGTTCATCAATTTAGTCGGCACTCTGATGTTGGTGGTATTTTTTGGCAGTAGGATTTTAGATTGTTTTTAATAATTGTATTTATTTTATTTACTTTTACAACACATGAGCACCACAAAGCACCTTGCCAAACTTGGGGCAAACATATTATGGTTGTCATGTTGTTAGCCAGCCAGACAACTACCAACAACAACCACCAGGGAAATTTAAGAGCTCTACAAACATTACTAATAAGACGGTGAGTCTCTTGTAAAAACAGAAATGTATGTGTACAGTCCAGTTTTCTACCAGTTTGAATATGTGTCTGGGTTATAAATGAAACTTGAAGCAAATGGAGAAGAAAATAATTCCCATGTACAGTAGTGAGGCTGCTGGTGTGGTCATCACATGGATAATAATAAAGATGCTGCAATGTTCTTTCAGGAAATAAATCCTAAGTGACCCTAACGCAGGTGACACATAAGAATGAAATGAATGACCTCAGTCTGATCTAATTATGGAGCATTTCTGCCTTGTTGGACAAATTAATTGCAGAAAGAAAATAAAAGGCTTCCTGAGTGTGGTTGAATATAAATGGGCCATTCCCCGTATATCTGCTGTTGATGCATGTGACATTTTTCAGGCTGTGGCAGGTATGCTCACAATGTAAATATCTGTTTTTGTGCAGCATATTATGCACTGTTTGACATACACCAGGTTTATATCTGGCTAATCTCTGTTTATTATACTATCACCTGTTATATAAATGGATTCACCATGTATACAAGGTGATCCTTGTTTAAGTGAGGATTCATGTCAATCAGAAACAGAATACCTTTATTCGTCCCACAGAGGGGAAATGTAGTTACAGGGCACAAAATAGCTTAATATCTCTCTAAATGGGTAAAATAATCTTATGACTCAATACAAACCATCTTTTTACTTAATTATCTGTGAATTATATGATTAATAATTTGTTCCCTTTTGTCATTAGGCACTGATTATTAACAAGTTAAAAGACAGCAGTTGCAGATGACTTTTTTCCACACTTGCTTTCTGTAGCCTGAACAATATTTTAGGCTCACTGTGATTTAAAAACCGTTTTTCACTACAAGCACATTTATTTATGTGAAAATGGTATTTCAAAATTTTAAAATACTGCAACAGTTATTTTGGATTATGGATTCTATTTCATCACGAAGCAATGTGTATTTCTTACGAAAACACAGTTGTTTTAAGTCTTTGTAATAAGTTGTTTAAGTATTTTTTCAAATTAAAGAGAATAAGATTAGGTAAATATTTTTCTTTAAGGATTGGACTACAACCAAAACAACTGTGATACAAGGTATTGCATTGAAATGGCATTTTTCAAAACAAAAGAATCCACAACCATTTTTTGCAATACACAGAAAAACAATACAACTGGAGTAATCACTAATCATTGAATCTGTCTAAAAGATCAAGCATGTTCATGAAGCTTAAATACAGCTTACAATAAATGTGAGGTAAACACAGTCATAACATTATGATGGCATTATGTTATTTACATAGGCTACTGTATACTCCATACTGATTCTTCATCTTTCCAAAACGGCCCCGTACAGTCCAACACATTACTTGCTTTTGCCATCCAGCATCCAGAAACATCTGGAGCGATCTCAATCATGGCCAACCTTTGCAGGTTTGATTCTGGAGAATACTTCCAGAACATGACATATTTTCACATGTCAGGGATGTCGACAGATAAGTGTTTTTTTTTGTATCTCTGTCTCTCCTGTTCTGAAGAAGTTGTTTCAATGCAGGGAAAGCTCACCGGCTGCTCCACTTTTTCTATATCCAGATTGTTGCGCATTGCCTTCATTTTAACTCGGAGACATTTTTGAAGCTCATATACAGTGTGCTGACCAGCATCGCCTCTTCGTGGATTGAATCCCTGCCGTCAGATTGCCGATGGCACATGAGTCTCATCAGCCTCTTCGGGAGGTGGCCGCTGAACATAAGGTAGATGCAGGGATTAGCGCAGCTGTTGAGACTGGCGAGCAACATCAGGATGGTGAAAGTCCCAGCTGGAGAGACAGAACAAGTTAAAATCATCATGTGCAAATAAATGGTGTTTTCCACCTAATGAATATCTTGTGTGTCTTGTGCGTAAATGCGCATTTCTCTCATATCTTTATGCCATTACTGATAACGTTTTGAAACGGAAACTCCAAATGAAACGCAGTTACAATCATAAAAAATAATCAGATCAAACTGAGCATCTGTCAGAAATATCATAATGACTTACTTTCTTTTGGTGCATGCGCGTCCCAGGCGGACCAGAGCTGGACTGTGAAGAAAGGAGCCCAGCAGACAATATAAGCCAGCACGATGACCACCGTCATTTTCAGTGTCTTCACCCTGGCCTTGGACATGCCGGCCACACCGCTGGCTCTGGAGGGCAGAGGCAGCCCCACGTTGCGCTGCTGCTGAGTCTTTTGGTACAGGTTGATCTGGATGACTCGACAGATGCGCACTTGACAAAAAACAAGTGTAATAACAGGCAAAATAAAAATGACCAGCGTGGTCCAGGTTATGTAAGTCTGTAGCCCCCACGGCTGGATAAAATCGGCCCAGCAGTCAAACACACCATGTGCAACCTCGACCTGTGCGAAAATAAAGATCTGTGGCAGGCTGCCCAGCAGAGAAACCCCCCACGCCAAGCACACAGGGATGTTAAGTCTCGTGCTTGTCCGCTGGAACTTCACCATCGGGTTGCAGACAGCTTGGTATCTGTCAACAGTCATCACAACGATCATGTAAGTAGATGAAAACATTCCGAGAACTTGAAGGTACTTCACCAGGCGGCACACCAGGTCTGGTCCGACGAACCTGTCTGTTATGTCCCATATGAGCTGCGGGCATACCTGGAAGAAAGCGACCACCAGATCCGCCAGGCACAGGTGGAAGACAAAGACGCGCATCCGGGACATCTGTTTGCGCTGTCTCCAGAGGACCAGCAGCAGGGAGGTGTTGAGGATGGCGGCGCTGATGAAGATGACACTGAGCAGCGCGATCTCCAACCGAGCCAGACTCTCATCCCTCGCCACGTCCCCCGCATCCACAGAGTTACTGTCATTCAGAGAACACATGTTGCCTGGGCTGAGAAACAGGCTGCTGTGGGATAATACAAAAATAAACCCTTATATTAAAACTTTTACTTGTTTCAAAACATAAACAGCTGGAACTCGAGTTAAAACAACGATGCACGCTTTTCAGTCTGAATTAAAAGTCTCTTTTTTTTAGAAGCTATTAAATCACAGTTATTTGTCAGAAAAGCATTTCATAACAAGTATTTCTACTTACCTTTATGAATATGTGTTTTTAAAATAGTGCCGGAGGGGATACTGATGTGTTCGAGCTCGGGTTGGGAATAAGTCCAGGGAGTATCTGTGCCCTGTTTTATGTGAGGATGAAACTGGCTGGGTGGAGCTTCGATTCATTCAGTACTTTGAATACCAGGCAAATAAGTCTTACTTCTCACAGGTGAAAAGACTGTTGTCATCATAATGTAATTTGTATGCATGTAATGTGATTTAAAGCCCCTGACCAATTTATTATTGAAGTAGGCCTAATCATTTATCAAGTGCATTTCATGCCTCATCATAGCCAGGGCTATGGTTAAGAATGCTTGTTTTTAATTGTTTGAAAGTGTTTAATTGTCTTATTATGAACATAATTATACTTCTTGAAAACATGATAGTAAAGTTTTACTTAAAAAACAGTATAGGCTACCACTTTGTTTTGAACATGAACCGCATTCTCAGAGACTGATACGTCATCACGCCTTTCGACCAATCACGTCACAGTACAGTTTGACGTCCCAGTACTTTCAACCGGAAGAGGGAATATAAACAAAGTAGTTGAAATTTAGAAGAATTGTCGAAGAGACAGTTCTCCAGTTGTATTTTCGCTGACGTACTCGCTCCTTTTTGTGAACGATGTAACGTAATTCGATAGACAGAGTGATACAATTATCATTATTTGTAAGGTCTCCGTGTGTCGATAGCAGGCGACATTCATGGATATCCTCCCTGCTGCTAGCTAGCGTTAGCTACACGGCTAATTTCACTACTTGAAGTACTAAGCGTTAACCAGCTGCACCAATGCCTCAGGAGGGTGAACCGTCTCCTCCTCTGGTCCGCTCCATCAACAGCTTAATACCCATTAATGTGGTGTTTCGTAACTTCAGTCCCCATGTCGTGCGACCACTATGGATAGATTACGTCGGCGAACCTAAGGCATACGTGGATATACAGCCAGGAACGGGACGGGAAATAGCCACCTTCATCGGTAAGGAATTCAATAATACAAGTTATCAAATGTCGACCAAGTACCGTTATTAAGATCCTTTACTTCTGTACAATTCAGAGGTAAATCATGTACTTTTACTCCACTACAATTATTGTATAAATTTACTTTGCAGATTTGGATTAATAATGTAAAAGTATTATCAACACTTGACTTAACGTACAATTCACAAGCTACCCTGCAGCATACAAAGTCATTCAAACTAGCTGCACCTTTACCAGCTTTGATAACACTTGAATGATCAATAATTATAATCAAAACGTATAAGGAAATAGGTCGATCTGCCTATTGACCCTAACCCTTTTACTTTTAGTACTTCCAGTATTTATTTGATGCCAATACTTTTGTACTTTTACTTGAGTAACCTTTGGATTACAGGACTTTTACTTGTAACAGTATTCCTACACTCTGGTACTTCTACTTTTACTCAACTACAAGATCTGAGTACTTTTACCACCTTTGTGAAAGTAGTAATACCACAGCTTAGAAATACTTAGAAATAACAAGTAAAAAGGCAAAAGTATTATTATTAAATGTGCCGTACAATTTAAAAGTAAGAATACTCTATCGGCATCATTTAAAGTAATATCTTATATTGTTCATCACTTTATTGTTGCAGCTAGTAAACTTGGATATTTTTTTGTTTTATATTGGCTAAGGCATCTTTTTTAATATTACAGGTTATCAAATGTAGATCAAGTTATGTTATTCAGATCAATTCAATTGAACTTACTTTATTGGCATGACCATTATGGCATACATACAGTATTGCCAAAGCTTTGTGCAATTAAGATCATTATCATACGTTTATATGTGGCATGTGCTTTTATGTTCATAAACATTTTTGAACAGAAGCAAGAATATCATGCTTTCTTTACAAGGAAAACAATATACTTTTCAACATGAACTTGAACAAAACCCCACAGAACAATAGAAAAAGTGGTATCACTTTACAATAAGACTGCCCTTATAAAGGGTTTACGAATATTTTTCAATTCATTTATTAATTAGGTTGTGAACACTTATAAGTCATTAATAAGATTTTATAAGACATGAGATAAACAGGGCAACTGTGATCGGTTGCTTGCCAAATAGTGAGCCCACATTTATCTGTACTGCTAAGCCTTATATTGGCTACTTAGCTTACTTCGTCTTCTTCATCAACCAGCATCCTTGGTATCTGTTGCTCACTGAGTTGATTCTCGCTAAGTAGCCAATATAAGCCTTAGTCATCTTGCCAAATAGTGAACCTGTGTTGATGTATGAAAACTATGTTAGAACTGGTTTATAAATGGTTCTTAATGATTAATAAAGTGTTTACAACATAATTATAAACCCTTTATGAATCATTTTATAAGGGTAGTCTTATTGTAAAGTGGTACCGAAAAAGTTAAGGTGAGTTTTTAATTATTGTGTAGGATAATGCTGATAGTAAATTCATATAATACATTAATAAGAAAATAATGATTCAAATACAAAGTTGTGAGATCTGAGTCAGTCTGATCTCTCATGTTGTGGCAAGCAGAGACGAACTGTCCTGCGAGAGTGCAGCACTGGAACCTGCGATCTAAGTTTTTCATACATTACATAATTACACCGTAGTTTTGTATATGTTATGACAATAAACCTTGAATCTTGAATTTGTAGAACTTTTACTTCGGTAAAAGTAGTAAGACCACAGCTTAAAAATACTCCATTAAAAGTGCAAAAGTATTATTATTAAGTAAACTATAAATGTTAAAAGTAAAAACGGGAATTTTACCAAGGGATCAATAAAGTGAATCTGACCTAAAATAATAACTGATACACTATTTGTTCATTTATATATTCTTTCAATAAATCAAAATCTTCAAAGTATTCAAATAAAAAGTACAATAGTGTTGTAAATTGTAATTAAGTACAGTGCTTGCGTACATTCACGTAGGTACTGCAGTGCCCACCACTGCAAGCTTTTACAACATTACAGTAAACACATTATATCTGAAAGGTACACAATATGTGCCCAATCTCTTGTCTGCTTTGTAATACACACTCATTAAAAAATGTTTTACGAATGGTTTCCCCAGGTCACCCATGGATGTTCAGAGATGCAGATACTGATGAGCCCCTGATGGTGAACTGCAAGGAACTGTTTCTTCCCAAACCAGCAGAGGGTAGAAATGCTAATATCACTTTACCAGGTAAGGTTAGCCACAGTCCGAACATATTAGACTTTATCATAATATGTAATGAATTTCTACTCACAGATATAAAATCAAGAGGAATTCACGATGCACTGAAAAAAAAAACCATTCTCCTGTGAATAACATCTAAGCATTTGTGTATTTTGAAAGACTGTCAAACTGCTGTTGATTGCTTTTTTAAATGGCAAAAAAGTATTAATAGTTTTACACTTGCCTTTCATGATGTTGGATCATGCAAGTAGGTTCTTCTTTATTTGGCAGGATTAGCTTGTTTGATTACTTATTTATTTAGATCCCCATTAGCTAATGTATTGCAACATAATCTACTCTTCCTTGCTTCCCCCCCCCCACAATCCCGAATATAAAAACAAATGTATACATATATTTTTTGATACATTTGTTTTTATATTCGGGATTGTGGGAAACGGTATTTCGATCTCTGTCTGTACACACAAACTGGAAGATTGACAATAAAGTTGACTTTTTGGGCATGGCTTTAAGATCTATTTTACTGGTACTTATACCACACTTCAATACACACCTAGGCAAGTAGCATTGGTCTTGTTGTGGTCAAACCATCACAAAATGACCTAAAAAATGAAATGTAATTTACCGATACAAATGGGAGTACAGTTTCTTGAATGGCCACTTTAGGCTGGCCTCAATTTGTTTGTTTTTTGCACTTGAAGTTTGAAAGACAATTTTCAACAACTGTCAAAAACGTGTTTGCTTTACACAGTACACAGCCTCAAGGATCGTGCTCTTCAGGTTATACGTCGTCTGGTACGAGCAGAAGACTACAGGAGGTTGGAGATAGCACGGTGTCTCCATGAGGAGCTGGAAGATCAGCCCAGTATTTTGAAAGATCTCCATCGCATGAACCAGAGGGTTGAGCAGCAACTGCTGGAGGGAATCCAATGCCAGGAGGAATAAGGCTTGAGACTGGATGGAAAATGGTCATGGATGGACAGCAATATTTTATCCCACACTATTAAAACCAGTGAGTGAGCAGCAGTTTCAAAGACGTCCTTAAAGGTCTTACATTTTTCTGTAAAGGAATTTGATCGGCTGTCTTTTGAATTCACTCATTGGCTTTGGAAAATGTCTTCCTCTGCAAAAAAAACCCTGTAGCATTGACCTTTTAGGAAGAGGGGCTTTCATATTGTGATGGCAGCATATTCAATTACATAGTATTTTGTTTGTCCTCTAAAACTGTGTTAAAGGATTTCCATGTTCATTTCTAGAACGGGACATTGTTGCCATTGATTCCTATCTGTCTATGTTAACATCAAATCCTATTTGATCATAGGAACAACATCAACATGTTTTTGTCTTGCATATCGTGGTATAACCAATATCCGGTCCTAAGGACATTCAATTAAAGTGTTTATAGTTACATTTGATAGGAATTTCATGACATGTGCTGTCAATATTTTTACTGGGGGTGCCTGAGATAAAGTGGTCTTGAAAATTCCAGTTTAATGCATTTCTCCTCTAAAATAAACGTTTCCTTGTTATCCTAGCTGTCAAATTGAACAGCCAAGGCTGAGCTTATCAGCAATCATCAGAACGCTTTGGCTTTGGCACTTTACATTTGGAAAAAGATGGAGTGATTTAAAGGTGTACTTTCAAGTTCACACATGGGCACGTTATCTTAAAAAATTCTGTCTTGCAGCTTACATAATATTTGAAAACCAAAATAATCAACAAGACTACGTTGTGAAACACTGAATGAGGACTATGCTTCTTTCCTTTTGCCTACTTTGTAATTCTGTTGTTCTGTCAACATGTTCTAACTGGATATATTGTTACAGAAAAAAAAAAAAAGATTTATTTCTAACTATTCGATTACATGAACTATTCAATTATAAACAAAGGGTCACAAATAAATAATCTTAAAATGAAAACATAATTTCTGAGAAGCTACAGTATTATGATGGTGGAAATGGATCAAAACATTACAGCTTTATGCGACAACAAACAAGTCCAATAATAATAATAACAATAATACATTTAATTTCCAAGTGCTTTTTCAGGTGCTCAAAGACGCTTTACAGTGGGGATAAAACGAGATATAATAGCAACACATATAATAGAATAAAACATATATTAAAACAGCAACATAACATAATTCACAAATTAAAAGCCAGTCTGAAGAGGTGTGTTTTGAAGGTGGGGGGGGGGGGGGGGGTCGTCGGTGCATCGGTGCATTCTCTGATGTGTTGTGGAAGGGAGTTCCAGAGGGTGGGGGCAGCGATGGAGAAGGCTCTGTCCCCCCAGGTTCGGAGCTTGGTTTGTGTGGGGATAGCAAGGAGGTTCGCTTCTGATGAACGAAGGCTGCGGAAAGGGGTGTGTTGGTGGATCAGGTCGGTGAGGTAGGGTGGGGGGGGGGTGCTGGTTATTGAGAACTTTGTGTGTTAACAGAAGGATTTTGAAGTGTATTCGTTGACGGACAGGGAGCCAGTGCAGGTTTTGACGGACGGGAATGATGTGGTCTCTGGAGCGGGTGTGGGTGAGGAGGCGAGCAGCGCAGTTGGATATATTGCAGTTTATTTAGAGTTTTGGATGATGAGCCATACAGGCTGTTACAGTAGTCCAGTTCTTGAAGTGATGAATGCGTGGATGAGGGTTTCAGCAGCCGGGAAGGAGAGTGAGGGGGGTGGAGGCGGGCAATGTTTTTTAGATGGAAGAAAGCGGTACTGATGAGGTGGTTAATGTGTTTATCAAATTTGAGCTGGCTGTCAACAATTACTCCAAGGTTGCGAATGTGAGGAGAGGGTTAGAGTGGCATTGTCAATGGTGAGGTTGAAGTTCTGGGTGGTGTTGGTGCGGGATGTGGGTCCGATTATGATAATATCTGATTTGTCGCTGTTCAGTTGAAGATAGTTTGCATCCAGGATTTAATTTCTGAGAGACAGTTGGTGAGTGTGGAGTGAGTTGTGGCAGTGATGGTTTTTGTGGAGATGTAGAGTTGGATGTCATCGGCGTAGCAATGATACTGAAGGTTATGGGGGCGGATGATTTTTCCAAGGGGGAGCATATAGAGGATGAAGAGGAGGGGACCAAGCACCGAACCCTGGGGGACGCCTTGGGACAGAGGGGCAGTGGAGGAAGTGCAGTTATTGATGTGGATGAACTGGTGTCTGTTGGTGAGGTAGGATTTCAGCCAGGAGAGTGCAGTGTCGGTGATGTTAAGTGATGATTCCAGGCGGGACAGCAGAATGGTGTGGTTGATGGTGTCGAACGCTGCTGTGAGGTCAAGGAGGATGAGGATGTTGAGGTTGCCGGAGTCTGAGGAGAGGAGGAGGTCGTTAGTGATTCTGAGGAGGGCTGTTTCTGTGCTATGTTTTGTGCGGAATCCTGATTGAAAAGGTTCAAACAGGTTATTGGAGCTGAGGTGGGATTTCAGTTGGGAGGCTACAACACGTTTGAGTAGTTTTGATAGGAAGGGGAGATTCGAGATGGGCCGGAAGTTGGACATGATGTCAGGTGTGAGTCCAGGTCTTTTCAGCATGGGTGTAACAGCAGCCAGTTTGAGTGAGGGGGGGACTGATCCAGAGCAGAGGAGTTCATGATTGTGGTTATGAGTTGGGAGATGTCAGGGAGGCATTCCCTGACAAATGTTGTTGGTATGGGGTCCAGAGTGCAAGTGGAGTTCAATCCAGCCATGAGGTTGGACAGTTGCATTGGGGTCAGAGGGGGGAACCGGGATAGGGGCTGTGAGGCGAAGGGGGGGAGCCAGGAGGGGAGATGGGGAGAGCTGCTGAGGAGGTCAGGTTTCTATAAATGCTGTCGATTTTGGATTGAAAGAACGAGAGGAAAGAATTGTACTGTGGGGTTGTGAAGGATGGGGTGGTGTTGTCACAGGGTTTAAGGAGTGTGCTGATGGTGGAGAACATAGCCTTGGAGTTGCTGGAGCCGGAGTGTATCAGTTGTGAGTAGTGCTTGGACCGGGCTGCTTTGAGTGCGTTATTGTACTGTTGTAGGTAGTCGGTGTAGGCATGGAGATTAACTGTTAACTGAGTGGCTTTCTTGTGAAGGCGTTCCAGTTGGCGTTTTTGTGATTTTATTTGGCGGAGTTCGGGGTGTATCAGGGAGTTGAATGCATAGAATGAATAGAATACAGTTGCACAGTTGTGTGCGATTAGGAGTGTATTTAAAAAAACTTTGATTTGAATGATTTAGGAATATCAGAGCTGTCACATCCAATAAAGTTAACACATAAGATAGGATTCTTTATTGTTAATGCATATTAAATTTCATGTTGACATTTATTTTGTCAGCAATCATCTTCATTTAGCAGCAGCATATAAAAGTATTCTTAATGGAAAGCAACACGTATAGCAATATCATAGTATATAGAAAATAGAGCAAACACATGGCAGTTAAGGCACATTCAACAGAATAGTCTTTAGCAATGTCGTTACTTGTGCAGGTTTCATCTGTATGTACTGTTTGATAGAAGCCGAATAACTTCACACAAATGTCACTTGTATAATCCTGACTGCATAAACTCACAGACACACAATGATATCCATTCCAAGTTGAATGTTACAATCAGAAATGATTACCGGCTCCGGTGTACCACAGCAGGGGTACTGTTGCAAAACATGTTGCTTAGCGACAGAGTAACACAAGCCATCTTTGTGTGTCTGTGTGTGTGTGTGAGTCGCGGTGAGCTGCCATCAGTATTTTTGAGGAATATGAAGGCAGGAGAAAGAACATGGAACTCGAGTCGTTTCAGAAAAGAGAAGTAAGTAAGAGGTCATCGTTGAGTGCTTTCTCTGTGTCTCTCACACACATATTACAAAATCTGCTTTACAGCCTGGCGGTGCATGATGATGAGCAGAAGTTTTAGACGCTAACCAATATTCATCATCTTTTGATTTTCTTCACCAGCATGACATTTTGGCCAATAAGTCACCCAGTCGTGTTTCCGCATCTCCAGACTGACCACTGGAGCAAAATGAAAACAATGGTAGGAGCACATGAAACAAAACACCCTATTACCAACAGGATGACAGAAAAACAAATGAAAGTCCCGATAAATATAAAAATACTTTGTACTCTTGTGATACTATGCACTTCTATTCCCACCTAGGTTCCAGTTTATCTTGCATCAGTTCCAGCTGCCTTGTTGAAGGACAGAGGTTTGTGAAAATGATCCTATTTCACAGATAATATAAAACTGGGCGATGACCAGGAGAGAGGGCAGAGAGTTCTCTACTAATGTTCTGTGCAAAAGAAAATGGGTCTCTAATTTGGCTTTATTACATGCCCTAGTGTATCAATCACATGAAGGTGCTCCAAACCGGCTGCTACCTCCTCTGACTCCGGATAAAACTTTGATTAATGATCCTGTTCCCTCCATGGTGGTGCCAGCATACAGTAAGGCTTATATTAACAGGTATTTAAATATCTTACATTTTATTATTTACCTCCATGCAAATTCACTATATGCCATTTGTTTCTTTAGATTTGCATCATAACAAACCAAAAACCTTACCTCAAGACATGCCGCGGCTCAGGAATGAGTTCAATGACCGTGCCAGGAGGGGCTTCTGCTACTGGGTCCTTGAAAAGAAGGGCTCAGCATGTAAGCACTGATCCAAATGTCACCTATACAAGAAGTGTCAGCTCGGAGAGACATTCGCATGCACATTGTTTAAATCACTTTAATTGCAGATTCTGCTATTCAGACTAACCACTGTGCGCTCAACCTTTACAGTTTTAAAGCTTTTATTCAAAGAGCTATCTCCCTGACTGACTCTGGTGCATGGTGGGGAGCAGAAGGTTAAACCTTTCAGTGTTATGCTTATCATCATTTGTCCAAAGCTGAGTTTCTATTCTTCATTCATTTCATTTTACCTTGATATATTATAAAGTCAGTGAACTAAAGCTGCAATGTTTAGTCAACTAACCACTCGTAGAACGTACGTGATCATTTAAAAAAAAGTAAGTTAAGTACTTTTGAATGGAAATGGAAGGAAATAATGTTTTCAGCCTCTCAAATATGACTGATTAAGACATTCAAAGACATAACGTTGGATGTGGAGAAACTAAGATGGACATATTAGACCAAATTATTTAATAATAAATAATCAATAGTGACAAATAATTACCTTTTTCTGTATTTTATAAAAGGGATGCACATAATTGTAAATGTCTACCAAAGAAGCATGTTGAAGAGGGACAACTATGTGTCGTGTACGTCTCTCACTACATTAGGATTGAGTGACTGATGAATCTTCATCCCTTGCTACAGGTAAAGGATACAGCTTTGGTGCCTACAAGACATCACTGGGATTACCAAAAGTCTGACAAAATGTGTTACTGTCGAATATTTTTGTAACCATCTGTCATAATGAATTTTGAATGCAAAAAAATAGGACTATATAATTTCACTTAGAATGTAATTAAGTCTCTCTTAATCGTATCAGTGTGTCGACTCAGCAGTCAAGACACTACCTAAAGGGTTATTATAAAGGACAAATAAAGAGCTGTACCTGTTAGATTACTTATTTAAAGGTCCCATGTCATGCTTTTCCGGTTATTAACCGTCCCCTTGTGTGTTATGTAGCTTGTTATGCATGCAAACGGTCTGCAAAGTCACAAACCCTTAAAGTACACCCTGTAGGGAGTAAAACTCTAACACAGAAAATACCTGTCTATGCTGCCCCAGAACGCCTCGTTGGATATTTGAACTTGTTCCATTGTTTTCTTATAGTGTAGTAAGTACAGTGACGTATTGGGTAACGTGACGTACTTCCTCACACACACACACACACACTCAATCCTTTCTCAGCTGCGACGGCGAGACGCGGCCTGCCTGTGCTCGTTCTGAACACACACGCAGACTCACAGCCAGGCTGCAGGTGTGTGTGTGTGCGCGCTCGGGCTGGGTTCAGGCTGGGTTTCGCTGTGTCTCGCAGATCCCCCGCAGCAACCAGGAAACGACACCAGTAAGCCAGCTCGCACTGTCCGCTCCAGCAGCGAGCCCCGCAACGTCCCGCCAACACAGCACCTAGACCCCACGCAGCATCTCATCTGTTTGTCATTGCTGGTGTCATTTTCTGGTTGCTAACGCCATTGTAACACATAATCACTGATGTTCCGCTGTAACGGTGGTGGACTCATCAGAACAGAGTGGGCGAGCTGACCAACCAGAGCACAATGGGCTCATAGGGAGGGAGGGGGGCAGGAGCTCCAGCAAGCCGTTTACGACAGAGTGAATACACATACTATACAGAGAGATGCTGTATGAGAAACCAATGTGAGTTTGGAAAATTGCACAATATAAATCTATTTTAGTAGACCTCAACAATGGAATTATGATCAGTAGAAATGGCCATGACATGGGACCTTTAAATCCAGTTTCACTGGCAGTGTTAACCAGTTTTTTTTTGTGGGAGTCAATCCTGACTTTGCTAACTACATCTAGTGTTTATTTCCACTCCTTAAATCTCTTTTGCCTCATGAATGTTGTGTTTATCTTTTTCATTTTGTCATGTCTGTTTTTTAATTTTCATAATCAGAATTGCCTCTAAAATCGTAAACATAAACTCATTGTTTATAATGTATCTCATCCACTATTTAAATGTGTGCTTTCCTTGTATATTTTAAATGTGTTCAAAACACTTTTACCTGAATAAATTGTGACGTATTTATCAATTAATTTGACTTGCTCACCCGCCTGGGGCCAATGCTGTTTTCGCGGTGCTTTCTGCTATTTTGTCAAATCTCGTTGGTATAATTGATGTCGCGACGAGGTATGTAGACCAATCTGGTCTTTTGCTTGCGTTCAAACAGGTTCAAACCTCAGCTTCAAAGCCTATATGGTTCAAACGGCCCAAATAAGAAACCTTTACCACCATCTGGCGGATAATTGAAACCTACATGTTTTAGTTGAATCAACTTTTAATAATGTCAATGAAGCGTTGTTTTAATTTGTTTTTGTTGAGAAACGGTGTAAACGGTAAATCGTGTAAATGACCGAGCGGACAGTGGCTGGCAGATGAAGTGACGCAGTTTTATTTTGACCTCCTGCACTGACTGGCAACTTCTACTGAGCCTTGCCCGAAAAGGTAACGGTAAGCTCGATAAATAAACGAATCGATGCATTTAACTGACTAGCTATACACGTGATAAAGAAGTTACTGTGATTGTTAACCCGATTTTTGACGACGGAAAATCATCTTTACTCACTGTTTTGAATAAACCGCTTAAAACAGTTAGCTAACGGTTAATTGGCTGTAGTAAAGGTGCTAACTAACGGCTTCGTTGGTTAGCAACACATCTCCAATGACTGCAGTGTCAGCGTATTATCCTACAAGGTAAGAGCAGACCGCTGCACAAACACTGCCAGACTGTTTACAAATGATTAAAGCTAACGTTACCTAGGTTTAACTTTTAATTTCACCAATCTTAACAATTTAAACTGATTGACACCCCCCCAGGTGACGCTAGATAACATTAGCTAACTTCAATGAAACAAATGGTAGCCATAATGTCTCGCAGAATATGTTTCGTAGTTTTACATCAATTTATTAAGTTAACATCTGAGAATCAGATAAATAAAGTATACGGTTTCGACAGTCAAACCTTACTATTGTTATGGTTATGTCTTGGCGATCCAGTATATTATTAAGGTTCCTTCAGTATCTTGTTGTGAGCTGCTGTTTTTCCTGGAAATACATCTCTGTCTCTATCGTCCATCTTTCAATATTGTATTATATTTCTGTGCTTAGACATTCACACATTTAAGCATCTCTGTCTTTATAATTGTTTTCTCTTAGCTTCTGTAAAGCCTGCTAGTTTTTATCTTAAAAATGCTCTGTATTTTTTGTATTTAACTTTATCAGTTTCTCAAACTAGTCTTAGACAGCTGCTTTTGGTCTCTAAATTCAAGAGAATTGGGCCTCAGAAGACCTTGAATTGGATGTTTAAGAAAATGTGGTCACCACAACATAGTTACAACCTGTCTTAATGAAGGACACGAGACATTTAGATTATGACCAGACATTAAATTAAATAATTTGTAACTGCGGGTTTACAGTTAACTATACTTAGGAAATAACCCATAGGATACATTTTCATGCAATATGCTATATACTTGTAAATGTGAACATTGATTTGGTATTTATCTGCTAACTTAATTTTTCACAAGATGATTCCTCATTATGGGAGCAATTATAACTGCATTTTTATCTTAAAGGTCCCATGTCATGCTTTTCTGGTTATTACCCGTCCCCTTGTGTGTTATGTAGCTTTTTATTCGTGTAAACGGTCTGCAAAGTCACAAACCCTCAAAGTACACCCTGTAGCGAGTAAAACTCTAACATAGAAAAAACCTGTCTATCTATGCTGCCCCAGAACGCCTTGTTGGAGATTTTTCTTTTTCCATTTTTTTCTTCCTGGTCATAGTGACGTAACACTGCGGAGCTCCGCACACACACATTCACTCAGCCTTATCTTTTCTCAGCCGCGGAGCTTTGCACACACACACTCACTCATGCCCCGGCCACACGAGGACGAAAACGGCTAAACGCATAGGATTAACGCAAACGCAATCGCAAAAAAGCTTCCGTCCACACGCAATAGTCATCCGGATAGTGTCTGTCCACACGAGACAGCTCCGTTTAGCTCCAACCGCTGGAGAAGCTGCAGTACATATGCAGGAGCCTGTACGTGGCGCTGTAACTTCCTCCACAAAAGCAGCGAAGAAGCATGGTTGTCATGGTTGCCCTTCTGTTTATTCTCCGCGGTGGGGGCCGAGGGAACCGGGCAGTTTTTCGCCAGTCAACGTGTATTAAAGTTTAAATCTTCCGACAAAATTATAAAAGTGCCGGTCAAAGGTCTTCTTTGTTATTTATTGAGCTTTAAAACAAATGAATAACGAATCTATATATTATAATAATAAAATACACGGAGCCTCTCTTTTTCCTCCCTCTCTTCGGACAGCGCCAGTGTCTGTTTCATGCAGCAGCTGATCCAGTAATGAGTGACCCGGCCGACAGTAAAAATAAACATATTTATATCTAGTTTAGGTGAGGGTGATGATCGGACTTGAAGTGTGTGTTTTACTCCGTTCACCGCCGCATCACAGCGGGAGGAGCTGCAGGTGAGCAGAGCTGCGTGTCTCCGTCCTGTCAGATTAGACTTCACTCGCGTTTAGGTCCATATCGAGAGAAAGATAAATAATCTGAATTCAGTGTGCAGTTTACTTTGACGCGGGGGTGAGCAGCAGAGGTGGGGAGAGGCGGGGCTATTGCCTCATCATTATCAGAAAATTATCGTATAGGGCGTACAAACGGAGCCGTTGGACCCCCCCAGAGCGTTGCGTATGCCGTTCTATCCACCTTGGGACCCGTTATCGTTTACGCAGTCGTTTAGTGCCGTATTCGGCAGTGGCGTTTTCTCCCGGAGGCCAAGGGAAGCCAGGCTTCCCCTGTTTTTTCGGATTGTAGTTATAATTTAAATAAATAAATACAAACACTTTGTTTTGTTTCGATAATTCTCCTTTGCTGTGTGTTGCTGCCGGCCCGGCTCTCCCCCATTCTCATTGAGTATTTTACAAAGAGTGAAACAAACAGCGCCCCTCTAGATGTTATGGTGAAACAGTAGATTGCACTCACTGTTGCGAGAGGAGGCCAGCCGAATCTAGCTTCCCTTGGTGAAAAAAAATGGAGGGATTGACCAATCAGATGAGGCCCACGTGATGCCCCTGCCAACCTGTGATTGGTCAGGGCCATGCCAAGGGAAGCTAGCCGCCTCTTGCTTCCCTTCAGAGGCGGCTGGCGGCTGGCGATTTGATTGGACACTGCCATCCAATCAAATCACATCAACATCAGTTTTAATACTGTAACTGTCATCACCGCCGTTAGAAATTATCAAGCAAATGAAGCATTATGGAGGGTGGAGATTTGGCGTACTTAATCAAACATAACTTTACTAAACTTCCGCTACAGCAGCAACTACAAATTAAATCAGATGACAGGCAAATGCCCGCACTCGAGCTGTGTGTACGCAGAGGAAAAAGGGAGAGAATCGGACGTTCAATGAGGACAATTATGTCCGCACGGAGTGGCTAACTGGAAGCGCTAAACTTCAGCGTCTATTTTGCTGGCCATGTCTTCTTTTTGACAAGGATTCGTGCTCCCTGAACAATCCTTGGGCAACTTCAGGATTCATCGACTTTGCCAACCTGTCACGGGCAATTGAGAGGCACGGTAAATCCAAAAATCACATAGATTGTGTGATTGTCTGCATACATTAATAAGTAAAATGCTTAAATTAATAAGGAGAGAGTTTCAGCTGGAGAGTGCGTGCGGACCTGTCGGTTAGATAACAGGCGTGTGCAAGTCCTGCATCTGTGTGATACAAATGTGTGTAAAATGATACCGGGCGCTGTAATCACTCATCTGGTTACGTTATTGACCACCCCCCGACCCAAAAAATGGGCTTCCCCTACATTTTTCCCCACGCCACGCTACTGGTATTCGGTCGTCCTCGTGTGGCCGAATGGTCTATATGACACTAAACAGTAACGCAAACGACCGTTTTCGTCCTCGTGTGGCCGGGGCATCAGTCTAATCTTTTCTCAGCAGTGGTGCTGCACAGAGCTCCGTACACACACACACACACACACACACACACACACACACACACACACACACACACACACACACACACACACACACACACACACACACACACACACACACACACACACACACACGGAGCTCAGGCTGTGAGTGTGTGTGCTCAGGCTGAGTTTCGCAGACCCCACGCAGCAACCAGGAAACAACACCAGTAATCCAGCTCACACTGTCCGCTCCTCGAGCCTCAAAGGGAGAAGCAGCGAGCCCCGCAACGTCCCGCCAACACGGCACCCAGACCCCACGCAGCATTCTCATCTGTTTGTCATTACTGGTGTCATTTTCTGGTTGCTAACAAACACCATTGTAACACATAATCACTGATGTTCCGCTGTAACGGTGGTGGACTCATCAGAACAGAGTGGGCGAGCTGACCAATCAGAGCACAGTGGGCTCATAGGGAGGGGGGGCAGGAGCTCCAACAAGCCGTTTAGGACAGAGAGTGAATACACATACTATACAGAGATGCTGTATGAGAAAACCCAATGTGATTTTGGAACATTGAATAATGTAAATCTATTCTAGTAGACCTCAACAATGTAATTATGATCAGTAGAAATGGCCATGTCATGGGTAGGGCTGTGCAATATAATCGATCCTGCGATATATATCGATATTTAGTTTTCCGAGAACGTATCGATATTTCAGCCGCGGGTATCGATACATTAAGTCTGATAACTGTGTTCGTTATTCTCGCATCCAGGAGAGAAGCTTTAAAAAGGAAACTGATTGAGTCTGAGAAGGTTCAAATGTATACTTTAATTAATAAAAAGCGTGGTAATGTTACAAGCAGAAGATGGTTCAGTCAGAAAAACAGCTGTGTTCTGGCTCTCGTGAGCGAAGGGAAGAGAGCGAGCTCCACCTTTCCAGCTGTTAAATATCCTCTGCTGGCTCTTCCCTGTGGGCCGGTTGGCGCTGCTGGGGGCCGGCCCTCCACGTCTCCAATGTTCGTTGTTGCGCATTACAGAGGATTCAGACATTGTACATTAAATATATAACTAAACACGCCTTTTCTCCTCCTTATCTCTTTCATGACTTTTCATTTAATACATTTTAAACGCTGTAATCAATACTCCAAAAATAGTTCACGGCTGGTATCATTTCCGGTAGTTCCGGATGTTGTCTCATGCTACCCACATCTGTAAACAAACGTATTCAAATAAACTGTACCTTCATTTAATATTCAGCAATAATAATATCTCGACGTCTATAGTTGTAGTGTTGAAATCAGTAGGTTTCGGTGTGCAACACTCAGTGTCATATCGCTACTAAATTCACCTCTATAGTAAATGGTATATTAGCCACATGCTAAATGTTAACCGGAGATGAAGGATTTTCAGAATAAAAGCTTAACAACTGGTTGTGCACAAGAACTTCTGGTTTTTCAGTATAAAACAGCATTTAAACTGACGGTATGTTTAAGGTACTTTATGCCATCAAAACATTGATTTTAATTTCTAACAAGTCCCATTGAAATCCCCCGTGTTCCGCCACCTGCTGCACCTTTTAATTCTCCATTGTGATACTGCACTTTATGTACTTACATTTCAAAGGTTTGTAAGCTACAGTTTGCACTGTTTCAATAAATGAAACAAATTTTCTCACCACATCTTTTGATTCATTTTGTCCAGCATTTTGCAAGCTGTAGACTCTCTATCAGAGCCATATATTGTATAATTGATGCTTTCAGTTTTCAGTTGAATTAATTCAATCCAAGTCAATGGAACACTCACAAGATGTCACCAAAATCACATTGTCCCTTTAAAATCTTTCAGAAAATGATATAAGTATATCGTATCGAATCATATCGTTGGCTGAATATCGTGATATATATCGTATTGTGAGCTGAATATCGTGTATCGTATCGTATCGTGAGATTAGTGTATCGCTACAGCCCTAGTCATGGGACCTTTAAGTATTTAAACAGTGATGTTTTCATGTTATAACCTTGTTGCCTGCATGATGAACTGGAGGGTTACACAGATGTGTTGATACCTTTACTTTGTATTGTATTAGAAATCTCAGACATGGACAGCCGCAGGAAGAAGTTGAAGTTCAAGCGGCTTCAGACTACCATCACCTCACCCACACAGCTTCAGGATAGTGATGATAGCCCAGGAACACCATCTTCCTGGAATATGTCTCCGAATGAAGATTCATATAACCTCGGCAGCTCTCCAGGACCTGATGGCCTTGGGGCAATGAGTCTGAACACTCCCAAGAGAAAGGCCAAAGAGCTTGGTGAAAGCATGCCCTCTTTAGGCAAGCTTAAGCTGAGGAAGCTGTCCAGGAAAAATTATGAAGAAATCATAACCTCAGAGGTAAGTTTTGCTCTGACCATCTATTAATTGTAGATCTATAGTATGTTGTTTAATCAAAGCTCAAGTTTTATATATTGCTATTTCTTGTTAAGTAATTACTGTTTTTATTTTGTCTGTGTGCACCTTTTACTATCAGGAGAAACCCATAGAAAACTCATCCAGGCAGCTAGGATTCTCAGAGAGCGAGCAAGTATTGTCAACTTCACTTCACTCTTTCCTTGTGAAAAAAAGAGAGAGGACACCAGAGGAAGGATCGGAAGCTATCTACAGCAGGGCACTAATAGCAGCCATTGGCAGCTCAAATGAAAGGGGCAGAACTACAAATACCCCTGTGACCTCACCACTGAAGACTCAAGTGCTCAGTCCTGCATCGCTTGACAGGAACCCCACACATTGTTCCCCAATTAAACCGGTGTATGAATCTGAGGACAACGGTAGTATTCAGGAAGAATCATGGGAGCCCAACGTTCAATCGTCTGAGGACTCTGAACCCCAAGGTGGTGGATCAGAGTTATTAACAGACAAAAGAGTAAGTTAACTCACACATATACGGCTACACCAGGGTTTCCGTTAGCCGGTAATTACCGGTTTTTAGCTGGTAAAATTTATTAAAAACCGGTAAATTCAAAACCTGCCGGTCAAAATGTCTGGTAATAATTAGGGAGGCTCCGATAGATCGGCCGCCGGTCATTATCGGCCGATATTCACTCTTAATAGTTTGATCGGTGCTCTCTATAAAGGCCGATCAGGAGAGCTGGATCTGATCGATATGGACATAAACGCGAGTGAAGTATAACCGGACACGCGAGAGAGATCAGATCAGCTGCTGAGTCTGATGGAGACACGCAGCTCTGCATAATCACCTGAAGCCCCGCCTCTGTTTAGCGAGCTGCAGGAGCTGCATGAGAAACTGACGGGCTGTCAGAGAGAGAGGGAGGGAGAGGGGAAAAGAGAGGATCCGTTTCTCCCGTGTTATTATTCAAAGTTAATGTAAACTTTTGAATAATGTACGTTATCTACTACAAGTAGTTTGTTTGAATGTAATAATTATGTTGTTTGTTGTTTGTGGAATAATTTATTGAAAAATGAATCTGAATTTTTCGATCTGTTACGATTATAAACTGAAGCAATATAAAAATGAGCCCTGTGAACTGAGTTTTAAACTGAAGCATATCTGCTCATAGTCCGGTAATTACCTGCTAACGGAAACTCTGCTACACAACTCTTATTATTATTATTGAAATATGACCGGTAATTTTCAAATGTGTCCGGTAAAATAAATTCTGCCCGGACATTTGACCGGCGAGAAAAAATCCTAGCGGAAACCCTGGGCTACACCACTTTCTTTTTGTAGAAATGAAACAATTTGTACAATTTTTGTTATTTACTTTGTTCTTGTTATTTTTCATGTGCCAGGGAAACAAAGACATATTTTTTTATAAAAGATGATTAAAATCAAAAGCCATTTAACTATCAAAGAAAATAGTCTAATGCCAAGTTTGAATCAGTGCAAACCTTCCCTGAAATCTCTTTCTTGCATTTTTACTGGCAAATGTTTTTTTTGTCATATTTTCACTTAATTTATTTTGAATGGTTTTCAGACTGTGGTGCTAAAAGATGAAGATTCACAGAAGAGGTTTTTCGATCCTCCCTATGTGTTGGTAGAAACAACCTCTCAGGACAAGTTATTTGCTGCAGAAAATGGACCGGAAGACAAATGCTGTGACGCTCCCCTTGATGTTGAGGAGTATACCCCAGATTCTAGGTGTTATTTCTCACCTCATCAGTATGCTTCTCCTGATACCCATCAATGGGAAAGCCCTCCATTGAATACCCAGGGAGCTACAACTTCCTCTTTCACCTTTTCATCCCCTAATGAAACATCTTGGGCCGCTGTGGAGAGGCCTTTCTCACCATCACAGAGGACAGTTGTTGTCCCCTTTAGGGCCAACCAAACAAACACAGTCCCTTCAAAGGCATCCAAAGTTTGGACTGAGAGTTTCCACTCTTCCGACGCTGTGTCCCATGTATCGGATCCGTATGCTCTGCCACTCCAGTCCAGAAGAGGACTGTGGAACTCCACAGCCACACACAGGAAGTCAGATTCAAGCTTCTTCATGCGTCACACCTTGACACATTGTGACCGTCCGAAAAGAAGACTATCCATGGGAGCTGCACCTTTTGGGACCAACTACCCGGGCAGTCAGGTTGGGTTCATAGACACACACTGTCACATAGACATGCTCTATGGAAAGCTTGGTTTCCGCGGGACGTTCAGCAGCTTTCGAAGGCACTACCGAAGCAGCTTTCCTCCTGAGTATAGAGGCTGTATCACCAACTTCTGCAACCCAAGGGCCACGGCGAAGGAGGCCCTGTGGGAAGGTCTGCTGGCTGAAGACATGGTATGGGGGGCCTTTGGGTGCCACCCCCACTTTGCCAAATTCTACTCAAGTGTCCATGAACGCAGTATGCTGATGGCCATGCGGCATCCAAAAGTTGTGGCGTTTGGTGAGATCGGCCTGGACTACTCCCACAAAAACTCCACTGAAACCCCCAAACAGAAAGAGGTACAGTCTTTGACACTGTGAAGTTGTCAAAAATATGTCTTGATTGATTTGTAAAATAATATTGAGTGTTGCTTCTCTGGGAAGGTGTTTGAGCGCCAGCTGCGTTTGGCTGTGGCCATGAAGAAGCCTCTGGTGATCCATTGCAGGGACGCTGATGAGGACCTGCTGGAAATCATGAAGAAGTGCGTTCCCAGGGAGCACAAGATACACCGGTATGTGTGGAGGAAAATAATCTGACTAACTTTCCTGTTCAAGTCAATTTAAGAAAATGTAAGTGTTCTTTTTATGGTTGGACGCAGTGTTTCCCATACATTGTTTTATTTGTGGCGGGCCGCAACAATTAAATATCAAATGGATCTCATAAAAAAGAAAAAGATAATAATAATAATAATGTTTTTTTTTGTTGTGGTCTAATGGATAGTGAGGTGGGCTGATGATCGGAAGGTTGCACTTGCAAGTTCAAATCCCGCCTGGAACACCACTACTAGTGTGCCCTTGGCAAGGCACTTAGCCCTCAGTTACTCCAGGGAGAATGTCCCTGTAATTGGTCATTAGGCGCGTTCACACCGCAGTACTTTTCCCCACTTTAGTTCCGATATAGTTCCGAAATGTTGCGTTCACACCAAAAAGAGCCGGAACTAAAATTAGTTCATGAGAACCTTTTCACCCCCTTTTCCGTCGGACTTTCGTGGGAGAAAAAGGTTCCTATGTCTGATTGGCTGGGCGGATTCAAGATTCAAGGCTTTATTTTCATGTGCACTGTAGCTACATTACATTACATGTTACTTGTTAGACTCTTTTATCCAAAGCGACTTACATACTCAATACTGTGGGCAATCCCCACAGGAGCAATTTGGGGTGAAGTGTCTCAGAGACACAACGACATGCTGACTGCAGTGGGGTTTGAACCTGTGCTCCCTTGATCCGAACACCAACGCTCTATACACTGCGCCACATGCCTCCCTACAGCTACAGTGTAGATATGGCAATGAAAAACGTACAGTGTTTCCCCTAGGATGGAGTCATAGCAGTGGTGCTAAGGCACGTGGGCCTAGCATAATGTGAGCGCGGAGCGCGTGGAATTGTTTGTGTGTGCGCGTGCAAAGTGCGCCCCGCCAATTTGTTTCTATGGCCGTTTCTCAATCGCAAGTAAAACTGCTGCAGAGCAACTATTTCAAGTATACTACGTCATCCAGTGGCGCCGAAGGACTGTTTAAATGCATGTTAAATGCCCAGCATTCTGTGCCACTCTATGACGTAGTATACTTGAAATAGTTGCTCTGCAGCATGTGTACTCGCGATTGAGAAACGGCCTATGTGTCTGCCAGCACAAGAAAGGCTCTTGAGGCCTAGTACCAGGGCCGGTTCTAGCCAATTTGCTGCCCTAGGCGAGATTTTATATATAAAGAATAAATGAAAAATCTCTACAAAAGACAAATACACTACAAAAACAGAAACTTATTGACATCAGTAATATATGTCAAAATGGCTTCAAATGTATTCAGTATTGTATGAACTTGTTTTAATTGGGGGGTGGACGTCACATCCTCTAGGGGGGTCTGGGAGTATGCCCCCCCGGAAAGATTTTTTTTTTTAACATTTGAAAGTAAAATGCTTCAATCTGGTGCACTTTGAGTACACAATTACTAGAGACTAGATCTAGGGGGTACAACTCTAAAACACCCATATGAAAAAGATCGGTTTACATTTTAATAATCAAATAAGTATGTGAACATAACCAATATTTTATTTTTGTTGTTCATTTATATCTTATTTGACCAGTTAACCAGTTAAGCCCTGAGCCTGTTTTTCAGGTTTCAGGCTCGAAAATGCCACTAACACAACAAATTATATATCTTCACTTCTAAAAGGGGTAAATGAATAATTATTTTTCTCAAAGCAAGGTTACATCTGTGAGTTGGATGTAGAAGTGTCAGAATCAATATAGATATTTTTATTTTAAAGTAAATTCAGATGGAACATAGTAAAAACATGTAAATTCTAATGTCCACCTAAAAAAAAACCTTTACTTATAGTGAAAACCACCCTTGCATGATGGGTTAGTAGACTAAAAGCTTTAGGAATCCAAACTATAACATATAATAAGTACCCTGTATCAAGATTGATGCAAAACAAGTAAAATTTGACCTTTTTAGAGAGATTTAGAAAAATAAAGTCTAAGCGGACTCACCTCTGGGTAATTTGGGAACCATCGGTTCCATTTGAACTTTTTCACTGTAAAAATCATTTTATTACTTTGAATTATCACTATAGGTATTCATTCCATCCAAATACAACTATTGTGAAAAAAATAAAATAAAACATAGGCTTACTCTTACAGTGAGCCTCTGAATTAGCCCCGAGCAAAAAATGCTAACCTATTACAGCACCGAAAATCACTCCTCGCTCCCTTATTACTTATCCTAGCTGCACATCCAACACATTGTTTATGATCGCAAGGAGACACAGAATCTAACAGTGCCCACCTGAACAGCCCAACACTGAAAGATACAAACTCGCGACGTTATCAACAAAAACGTACATCAAAACAAATGCCGCTAGCGCTAATGCGCTAGGCTAACAATGACTTACCTTCCTCGTTATCTGGTCTAAACTGGTCTTCAATGGCATTAAAACGATAAAAACGATGATGTAGTTAATCCATAGATTAATATTCAATGGGGCTGTGTCCCCTTTGAAATGTTCTGATAATCTATAAGCAATACAACTGCAATTCCGTTATCTGCTGTCCGCTCTGTGCTCCGTGCGCTCTGGGTCCTGCTGCATTTCCTGCTTCGTTACGTTGTAAACAATAAATGAAGTCGGCTGCGTAATGTACTTAAGCTGGCTGGCATTCTTTATAGTTTACGCAGGACCATATCTCTGGAACCCATTGGTCGATTCGTGTGATTTACACCTTTTTCTTAACCATCAGAACCAATAGAATCGATGGGCAGTTCCCAAATCTACGTAAACATTACCATAGCGGACGTAATAGAGAAGCAAACGAAGCATATCTGAAAGTGCAAGCCTGGACGGAAATACTTTATACCGAGTATATTGCCATAAATATGATGATTGATTATCAGTAAAAAATTATACGTGACACAAAGACATTGGATTAACCTTGAGATGCGTTTTTATTCCGTTGAACACAACTTTTGATCACAAATCAAAAAAGGTAAGACGTAATTATTGTAATATTTTTGAAAACGGATGTTGTTTACTTTCTCTTTTCTGGCTGATAGCTCCAGGAATTCGAGGTCGGACAGTGATGACATTACATGTGTGGAATCTGTGGAGTCTCAGCTTTAAATCGTATATCTTGTTTGTGCAGTTAAGATAGTAATAAGGGCATTTCTACCGTGTGTTGTGTGTAAAAAAGCGTTAGCATTAGTTAGCATTTTTTCGCTCAATGCTAATTCAAAGGCTTGGTATTACTCTTGTGTTTTTTTTAGCTAACAATTGTTCTTATTGTCAGTTAGCGGAGTTTCTTACCTTTTAAAAGGGTATGAAACATTAATAGTTTCATAAATGTTAAGAAGCCCTGAGACATGTGAGAAAAAAAAAACTGTGGGAGGGGTCCACTGGGGGGACCTTCGGGCTTAACTGGTTAACATTTATTTATGCATATTTTTGTATCTCTCCAACTTTAAACGATATTTTTGGTTTACTGTCCTATAGTATACATTGGAATGATTTCAAACCTGTTTTTATTTATGCTAATAATTATAAAGGAGTGCCTTGGAAATATGTGTTTACATAATTTGTAAACATATATTTGATTGAGACCCACTGAGATAACTTAGACTAAAATTAACTATCTAAACACTCAGAGAGTCCTTTACCTCACTGAGCCTCTCAGTCTGACAGGAGAGCTCTCCTCCACCCTGGTTGTAGAAACATCTACTTCTTATATCCGTTAGCGCAGCTAGCACCAGATTCTAATAACAACAGCGCCGGTACCGGTGCGCCCCCTCTCTCTCTCTCTCTCGCTCACTCTCTCGCTCCCACGCTCGCACTTTGGCTGTGAGCTGCGGGCGCCTGATAAGCCAACATCCCCCACTTTCATCACTTACAGCACCCATCGTACAGGGCAAATGAAAAGTGTAACCGGGGTGAGAATGTTGTTACATCAGGGCCAAAAATTAGGATGAGCACCAACAACGGTCAGAAATGTTTTTTCCCCTCCCATCACTACCAGTGCAGCGCCCCCCAGATCTGGCGCCCTAGGCGACCGCCTATGTCGCCCCTGCAACAGTGCAACATGAATATGTATAGGACATAGAACAAATAAATAAAATAAAATAAAGTAATGTATGAAATAAGTCATTTATAAAAAATGTAATGTGGTAAATTTTAGCCTGAACTGAATTGACTGAATTCTTGATGGTATTTTATTACTCATGTGGTTTCCAGGCACTGTTTCACAAACAGTTATCCGGTCATTGAGCCCTTCCTGACGGAGTTCCCCAACCTGTATGTTGGTTTTACGGCACTGATCACCTACTACAAGGCTGCCGAGGCCCGAGATGCTGTCCGCCAGATCCCTCTGAACCGCATCGTGTTGGAGACAGACGCACCGTATTTCCTCCCAAGACAGGTACTCTTAGATTGAGGTCTAGCAAAGATACACTGTTCTAAGGCTTTTTTTGTCAGCTCCTAATACTGGCAATAACTTCAAATGTCCACCAGCTTGCTTTTACAGCTAAACACATCTAAATGTATCTGATGTGACTGAAGCTAATGTCAGTTTATAAGAACGTACTTTTTATGCATTTTCAACTGACAGCTAATAAAACACAGACAGCCTTGTAACTAAGAGACGTGACAGTGTCAGTTCAGGGTAGAATTACTCGTTCTTGGATTTTTTATGTCCAATTTAAACCCAGCTCATGTTGATCCTCTAATGTTATCACATAATCTTAATTTCAAGAATGAAGTCGTCTATTTTGTTGCTATTGAATAAGTATGATTTCAGTTGCTTTTTTGTTAGATTAGAAAAGTCAAAATGGCCAGAATGGTACTGTTTTCAGCATTGTAGCCCTAAACCATCAGGAGTACATTTCAACTACATATGAGTGTGTCTCTCCTGCAGGTTAAGAAAGATGTCTGCCAGTTCGCTCATCCTGGGATGGGCATCTACACGCTGCAGGAGCTCAGCCTGCTGAAGGGGGAGGACATGGACACTGTCCTCAGCACCATCCGGAACAACACCGTGCAGCTCTACGGCATATAATCTAAAGATGGTGGTGGATACAAACTAGCAAGAAAGAGGAGACAGAAGCAACATTTCTTGAGCTGGTTTGTGACGAACATTTTATGTAGCTTTTTTGTTTTAGATGTACCAGTCCTCCGTGTAGAGATGTGGATGATCAGTCTCGTTTTAATCAATCTGAAAAACTCTATAGAAATGTAACACAAAAAAAATGAACACTTCTCTGACGGAGATGCTGTATATCATTGATTATCTGATTTAAATTGTATTCCATTGTTTATCAGAGAAATTCATTCCTAAGCGTTTTTTTAGGTTTGTTGTCTTTGCTGTTTTGAATCCCCTGTTTGTTCACATTTGTTTGGATATTTGTCTTGTGTGCTGTGTAGTTTGGGTTTAAACTGTGGGGACGTGTTCAAAGCCTTTGATCCTGTTTTTTAATGTTAAGCTATGGTTTGTTTACTGACTTGTATCAGAAAAGTTCTGACTGATGAGCAGATAAAGATTAGAAACATAAGAGAATACTGTATCGTTTGTAACGCAGCAACACAAACACGTTTGCTTTGAGCAAAGCAGTTTCTTTGTTGGAGAAAGGAAGTGCTAGCCGTCTTTGATGCCAACGTGTTTGTCACACTCATTTTGTCACAAGCTTAAGGAGAACCCAAATGCAGCACTCGAGAAACCAAGGGGAATTGGTAATAAACTTTATTGGAGATTCCACTGGATCTGAGGAATACCAACCGAGCAGTTTAACGCACCGGAGGACAGCGGGCAGAAGGTGAGTCAGGGACAGGCAGAGAGTCAGGGAGTAAGCGAGGCGGTCAGCGTAGATACAGGCAGGATCAGGGAACTGGCAGAGCAGGCAGATCGAGGACAGGCAGGGTCGGAACCGGGTAGGCAATCTGGTATCAAACGCGGGAAAGACAAGCATGAGGCAAAGTGCAATCTGGCAAAGAGTGTGTGTAAGGTGCGGGTTTAAATACTGGCAGAAGCTAATGGGTGCAGAAGAGAAAGAGAGTGAGCTAACGAGTGGGTGTGGAAAACAGGTGAGACAGGTGAATGGAAAACTACTGGTGAATGATGGAGCAGACTATGACAGAACCCCCCCCTTAATGGACGGCTCCTGACGTCCCTAAATGCTAATCTACAGAGGAGGGTGGGATTAATACTCATCTGAAAAATTTCTTTCGGCCTCCCTCTCCTGCCCCCTGTGGGAATCTGCGTCCTCATCAGAAGCCGGCCCCTCGCTGTCCTCCTCTGAAGAGCTGACGGTAAGAGGAGAGACTCTCCCTGCGTCTCTGCCCGTCGACGTGACAGTCTTAGATGGTTGCTCGGGATTATGCCGATGGAACTCCCTGATAAGCCGGGGGTCCAACACATGACGAGCTGGAACGGGAACGAAGAATTCATCGGAGAGTGTACGTAGGCCCGCCGTCAATCATCCGGGGGGGTGGTGGGGGAGGGACCGCAGGAACCAAGGCACTCTCTCGGACAGGTTTGATCCTGGAAACGTGGAAGGTGGGATGGATCCGCAGAGTCCGAGGCAGTCTTAGCCTTACTGCTGCGGGATTGATTATCCTGACAATCTCAAAAGGTCCAATGAATCTAGGTGCAAGCATCTTCGAATCCACCCGTAAAGGAATATCCCGGGAGGAAAGCCATACTTTTTGGCCCACCTGGTAGACAGGTGCTTTGGAACGTCGGCGGTTGGCAGAGGAGGCGTACCGGTTGGCCGAACAAACGAGAGTTCTCCGGGCTTGATTCCAGGTCCGTCGACAACGACGGATGAAAGCCTGGACGGACGGACAGGTAACCTCCCTCTCCAGGGCCGGAAACAGAGGTGGTTGAAACCCGTAAGCACACTGAAATGGGGACAGCTTGGTGGCCAAACTGACCAGCGTGTTGTGGGCGTACTCGACCCAGAGCAGTTGTTTAGCCCAGGCCGCTGGGTTCTTGGAGACAATACAGCGTAAGGTCGTCTCCATCTCCTGGTTCTTTCTTTCTGTCTGACCGTTGGATTGCGGATGGAAACCGGATGACAGACTGACCGTGGCCCCAAGGAGCGTGCAAAATTCCCTCCAGAACACCGAGGTAAATTGAGGACCACGATCGGAAACCACATCAGTAGGCAGCCCATGGAGCCGGAACACATGGAGCAGGACCAGCTCTGCCGTCTCTTTAGCTGAGGCGAGCTTGGGTATCGGCACAAAATGAGCCATCTTACTGAATCGGTCTACCACCGTCAAGATGGCAGTGTGTCCGTTGGACGGTGGCAGACCAGTAACAAAGTCCAGAGAAATGTGAGACCAGGGGCGATGAGGGATAGGCAGAGGTCGTAGGAGACCAGCAGGAGCTTGGTGAGAAGACTTGTTTTGATTGCAAACAGGGCAGGCATTAACAAATTCCCTGGTGTCCTCCTTAAGTGTTGCCCACCAGAACCTTTGCTGGACTACCTCCCATGTACGTTGGATCCCAGGATGGCAGGTGAGTCTGGAGTTATGAGCCAACTGGATAACATCAGACCTCAACGTCTGCGGAACGAACAGGCGGTTCGGAGGACAGGCACTGGGTCCCGGCTGGTCCTGCTGGGCGGCCTTGACCCTCTCCTCCACCTCCCAGATGAGGGCGGCGACGAGCTGAGGAGTCGGAAGGATGGTGTCCGAGCCCCTGGGAATGTTACCTCCCTCTCCAAACTGACGAGAAAGAGCGTCAGCCTTAATGTTCCGAGAACCAGGGCGGTAGGAGAGGGAGAAATTGAACCGAGTGAAGAAAAGGGCCCATCTAGCCTGTCTGGAATTCAGTCTGCGGGCCGACCGGATGTACTCCAAATTCTTGTGGTCGGTCCACACCAGGAAAGGTTGACTGGTCCCCTCGAGCCAGTGACGCCACTCCTCCAGAGCCAACTTCACTGCTAGCAGCTCCCGGTTTCCCACATCATAATTTCTTTCCGCTGGAGTCAAACGCCTTGAAAAGAAAGCACAGGGATGGAGTTTTTGGCTGTCCATTGCTCGCTGAGACAGGATGGCTCCCACCCCCATATCAGAAGCATCCACCTCCAAAACAAACTGTCTTACAGGATTGGGTACTCGGAGGATGGGGGCGGAGGTGAACCTGGCCTTAAGGTTCTGGAACGCCTCCTCAGCCGAGGAGGACCACTGGAACATAACCTTAGAGGAGGTCAGGGCTGTGAGAGGAGCGGCCAAGGTACTGTATCCACGAATGAACCTCCGATAGAAGTTGGCGAACCCGAGGAACTGTTGTAGCCGCTTCCGGGATTCTGGAACCGGCCAGGAAGTGACTGCATCAACCTTGGAAGGATCCATCTCGATGCTCCCCTGTCCCACGATGTATCCCAGAAAAGAGACGGAGGATGTGTGAAACTCGCACTTCTCCGTTTTAACAAACAGCGAATTCTCGAGCAATCTCCTGAGAACCGCCTGGACGTGGTGCACGTGTTCTTTCAGCGTCTTGGAAAAGATCAGGATGTCATCCAAGTACACAAACACGTGTTGGTCCAACATGTCTCTGAGCACGTCATTTACCAACGCCTGGAATACTGCAGGGGCGTTGGTAAGCCCAAAAGGCATGACTAGGTACTCGTAGTGCCCCAAGGTGGTGTTGAAGGCGGTCTTCCACTCATCCCCCTTGCGAATACGTACCAAGTGGTACGCGTTACGCAAGTCCAGCTTGGTGAATATGGTTGCCCCCTGCAGCAACTCGAATGCAGAAGAGATAAGAGGCAGTGGGTATCGATTCTTGATCGTAATGTCATTAAGACCCCGAAAGTCGATACAGGGCCTTAGGGTCTTGTCCTTCTTCTCCACAAAGAAGAACCCTGCGCCAGCAGGTGATGAGGACGGGCGAATAATCCCAGCCGCCAGAGAGTCATTGATATAAGTCTCCATGGAAACTCTTTCCGAAGCAGACAGGGAGTACAATCGACCCCTGGGAGGGCTGGTGCCGGGATGCAGGTCGATGGCACAGTCGTAGGGCCGGTGTGGTGGTAAGGAAGTAGCCCTCGACTTGCTGAATACTTCCTTGAAGTCCAGATATTCCGGTGGAACCCCTGTAACATCTGGAACTTGGCTGGGGTTCACCGAACGCTGAGGCGCGGCAGCCTGTTTCAGGCAGATCAGATGACAAGATGGACTCCAACCCAAAATGGCTCTAGTCTCCCAGTCAATGTTAGGGTTGTGGCGGCGGAGCCATGGATAACCCAGGATCAGCGGAATATGTGGAGACCGGAGAACATGAAACTGAATAGTTTCATGATGGTTCCCAGACAGGAGCATGTGAACGGGTACAGTCTGATGAGTCACTGTCCCCAGCACGTGACCGTCTAAGGCGTTGGCTGGAACTGGGCGAGACAAAAGAACCCGGTCTATCCCCAACTGCAGCATAAGCTCTTCATCCATAATACTCGCGTCCGAACCAGAGTCAATAAAAACAGCAAGAGCCTGAGAGCTATCCGGTAATAGCAACCTGGCGTGGCTCAATGGTCTCTGAGCGGGAACAAATCCAGGGGTTTGGCTCACCAGTATGTTCCCCATTACTGCTGAGCCTTTTACCGGGCAGTGAGAAACAAAATGGCTGGCCCGGCCACAGTAGAGACACAGGTTACGACGTCTGCGATGCTCACGTTCCTCCAAAGTGAGGTTGGTGCGACCCACTTGCATGGGCTCATCCCCCCCCTGGTTGCGGCTCTGGAATGAGGTGAGGAGTCGCAGCCCAGGCATGTTGAACTCCCTCCGATCGTCGCTCCCGTCTCCGTGTCTGGATGCGCCGATCCATGCGGGAAGTCAGTTCAATCAACCCATCCAGTGAATTGGGCAGATCAAACGACACCAGCTCGTCTTTAATGTAATCCGCCAAACCACGCAGATAGGCGTCACACTGGGCTGCAGAATTCCAGTTGCTGAGGCGGCTCTGGGTGCGAAACTCAATGGCATAATCCACCACAGATCCATTACACTGGCTCAGGTTCAGTAGTCCTCCTGCAGCGTCTGGACCCACAGACACGGGTCCAAACACCTTGCGCAGCTCCGCAGAAAAAGCGGGGAACGAAGAGCAGGCGGGTGTTTGTTGCTCCCATTCCGCTGTGCCCCACAGTCGGGCTTTCCCAGTCAAATGATTGACCGTGAACGCAACACGAGCAGCTTCAGAAGCGAAAGTGTGTGGCTGCAGCGCAAACAGGATAGAACAGTTCGTAAGAAACGGGCTGCAGCCCTCCGGTTCCCCGGCGTAGCGCTCCGGAGTTCCCACCCGAGGCTCCGGGGTAAATCCCATCAGAGGTGATGCAGAAGCGGGTGTCGACGGCATAGGAAGAGGAGCGGCCACTCCTGCCACTAGCGGCTGCACAGTAGCCGTTAGCTGCTGTAGCTGC